CCTTCCCTTCCCTTCCCTTCCCTTCCCTTCCCTTCCCTTCCCTTCCCTTCCCTTCCCAAAGGACTTGGAGGGAAGGATTAATCTTCCACTTTTCCCCATATTGTGGCTGCAATACTAATAGAGCCATCACAGATGTGTGTTTTCTGGCTAATAGCAATTATAACAGCAGTAGCCATTATAAAGTGCTGAACAGTGCAAAAATTGCTGGGGTGGCTGGTCTCTAATTGTGCAGGGAGAGCAGAAGCTGCTGTTGGGGTAATAATTTGACAGTCTGTGGGGTGGTTGCAGGTTCGTCCCCTGACCAGGATGAACAGCAAGGTAGTTTTGCATGTCCTGTGAATGGCAGTGCAGCAGTTGATTCTGGGCTGGAATCAATTGCCAGACTAGGTGCAAGCCTTTTAGAACGATGTTATTTTCTCACCCTAGTTCTGTCAGATACGCTCCCTTCATTTTGCTTTCAGCTGAGTTGACAAGTCACTCCCGTTTATTAGATTGGGTATGATGGATGTAAGACAGCGAGGGGGTACGAGTAAGCAGAGATAGTCAGCGCTGAGAACAGAAGCAAATGTGCCAAGAACATTGAAGCACATTGATGCCAACAGCTGTCCCCAACCTGGCACCCACCCCAGTATTGGGACGCAGCTCCTCAGATCCCCCCTTGGCATGGCTGAAGGTTGCCATTACTAGCCATGGCCATCCAGATGCCCTTTGGTAATGGTATGATAAAAGTAAGGTCACGTTTGACACTTGTAAATTGATATGCACATGGATCCGTCCTTGTACTTTTTTTTGGCAACGGTATAAAAGTGGTTGGTGTCTCCCATCCAAGCTGCAACCCAGGTGGACTCAGGATGAGGTCAGCCAGGTGCTGCCACCTACTGAGACAATTTTAGAGACAATTTCTCTATCCAGAGAAGGAACTGAACTATTTTCAGGGGGCCAGCATATGGCTGGAGTAGAGTAAGCATCATTTTGAATGACTTAAAGGAATAAATATCTTTAAAAAAAAACCCTGCATTTATTTAAGGAGCTAAACACTTTAAAGCATTTTTTAAAAAAAACTCATTTAAAATTCCAACAGTCTTGAAAAGTAGTGCGTTTTCTATTGATTCTGTTTGTATCTGTTGGCTATTTAGTTGTTTCACAATTTTTATAAGCTGTGTCCTTGTAATCTTCAATAAAAAGCTAGTGTACATATGCTGTACATAAATATATATTAAGTGATCACTGGGTTTGTATATTCTTTATAAATCAGTGATCTCAAAATGTTCTAAGAGTTTTTTAGAACACTCTTTCCAACTTGGGAATGTTCCAAATGTGTTGGGCTTCAACTCTGTTGATTCTCAGCCAGTATAGCCATGCAGTTGGGAAATTAGAGATTTGAAGTCCAACATACCTCAACAGCAGTAGGTCCAGGTAGGCTGGCTTTGATCAGTTTTCAAGTGCAGGATAGCTGTGTGACATCTGAGAGAAGTAATCAAGACTGTTAGCAAGAAGGTTCTACTGAAGAACAAGTGATGATAAAAAACATCTCTTTGGATCCATAGATGGACTTTTCAGAATAATACTACCTGAATAAGGAGCTTCCAGTAATTTGCTAGGCATCTTTCCTCTTGTTGAGCATCACACTGGAGTGAAGTTTTGTGTGAAGTTCCACAAGAGTTAATTCTCACACAATCAACGAAAAGCAGTGTGATAGCAAACCTGACTTCTGAAAAAAAGATAGGTGGAGACAACCCATCCTACCCCAAAGAGGGTGCCAAGTATTATGTTATGTAGGATGGAAAGAAAAGCAAAATGCAGGAGGGTTTGAACACAGTTTCTCTGTATAAAGCTTGTTCTTGAATCTCAACAAATGCCAAAACCCTCGGATGTGGCTTCTTGTTTGCTTAAGGGCTTCATTTCCTTGGGGTGTGTGGGTTAAGCCCGACATCAGTCTTTGGGCCTCTACATCTAAACATGAACAGTAGATGAAAAGGTAGGGGGAATGTACATGACACAAAATTGGATTAGATATTTGAATATGGATGGCCTACGTGATAGATGACAACAGTGGGCAGAAAGTAACAGAATTACCTTAAAACAGATTCTTGCACAGGAATCTTCACAGAAAGCAAATGTTCGGGTGTAGAATGGGAGAATATCTGGTTTGGTAATGGGTCTTATGAGAACGGTCTTGAAATGGTAGTTGATTGTCTACTGGATAAGAGCCAACAGGGTGATTTGGCTGCAAGACAGGGAGATGCAATTTCAGGTTGCATCAACAGAAATATAATTTCCAAATCATGGGAGGTAGTCATTCCATGGTGTTCTGCTTTAGTCACTTGGGTACTATATCCCATTTTGGTCTTTCTTGTTCCGTAGCTGATGAATTAGAATAATGGTGGTAAGTTACTGGTCACAGATTCCAGAATGTTAGAAAAATCTTCCTAGCATTCAAGCAGTTTGAGGGTAGAACCATGACCCAAAGAGATAGTGGGCCCCCCTTTGTTGGATGCATTAACAGCAATCCCTTAGGGGTGCTTTAATTTAGATTCTTGCAGTGAGCAGAGATTGGAGGTTTGCAGGTTTTTTCATGGTTTGCAGATTTGCATGGTCCGAGACTGGAGGTTTGCAGATCTTTTCATGGAACCTGTTTGTTAGAAAAGAAATTCCTGCAATCCCTGATTAAAAGCAGTGGGGCTTCAGAAGCACTTCGTTCCTTGTAGACGATTTTTTCCTTCTTCATCTTTTGCAGAGACGTCCCCCATCCATTTTGTCCTGCAAAACCCATTCAGCTCCTCTCTTTGAAAAACCCTGACCTCAGTGTCCCCTCCAACTCTAAAGCTTCTCCCACTAGTCTTGCTTCTTGATGCTCGGCTTAAGTCTCCGTCACTGCAAACCCTACCAATGTATTTCATTTAAAATGAAACAAGAAAAAGATCAGCCGTTCCTCAGCATGACTCCAAAGGCAATATATCTCTTGCTCTCTTGTTCAGATGTGCCAGCAAATCTTTTTCTACACACGGGCGCACATTCACACACACACACACACACACACTCATGAATTGTAGTTTTACTTGGAGGACTAGTGTTTTCCCCTCATGTAATTATAGTTCCTGTTTCATTGAAAATAAGGATTCTGGAAAAATGTGTGAGACGGATGGGTTCTCATCTGCCTGACCTCTTCTGTTACCAAGGCTGCATGGGTTTAACTTTGAGTTCTGAAGCGGGGCTCTGAAAGTATGACTGTGTGTGTGCTCCTGGACCTGGATTGATTAGGGTCTCAGGTTACACAAAGGCAAAAGTACATTTAGCTTCCTTGCAAACATTTTGTCTGGTGGGCAGAAGGGGTGAGGTGGGTGAATGAAATGTGGCCTCTCTTCTGTACGTAGCATCGTCCTCACTTACTAAAAAAACCCAGCTGAACATAACTCTGTCTGTGTATATCATGTATCCAGAGCTTTACCTATGGATTTATCTCATCATTGTAGACAAAAGGGAGCATCAAGGCTTAGTCAGGTAGTTATTAAAAATCTTGTGATCAGCTAAAAGCAACCCTCCATTAAATTAGAGAACTCATTTAATTTTTATGCAAATTAAGCACATTGCTGTAAAAATGAAGACAGTATAGTGGGTATTTTTTGTGATAATGCTTTTCCTTCCTTTAAAGATAAATTAATTGATCATATGAGGAAAGCTTTTTAATTTAAGGGACAAATTGTTACCCTATTTTATGCAACTATTTCCCTTAAGATTCTGTTTTGTGAATGTGGCCACCCTTCATTTGGTTTTCCTGCTTTTTTTGTCTCCTAAAACATTACTTTTGCTGAGTTATGGAAATATGAAAATGTCCCAGGGTAAGCATATAGGTTTTGATAAATGACTGTTTTCCCTTTATCATTTCAGATCCTGGAATACCCTATTGATCTTAAAGAGAACAAGTTTCCTTTGCTGCGTAATCCAGATATTTTGGTTGGAGAAAATGACTTGACAGCTTTAAGTTACCTCCATGAACCTGAAGTTTTGCATAACTTAAAAGTCCGCTTTTTGGAATCAAATCACATCTATACCTATTGTGGTGAGCATCGCCATATGCGTTGTTTTTGGAAAGAATAATAGCAAGAATGGGGCAGAAGATGTTGCAGATGTTTTCCTACTTGATAGTGTGCCAGGATTCCTTGAGTTGCTTAGGGCCCGATGATCAAAACGAAGGTCTTCTTGAAAATGCCCCTGCTTTCAAACGTTTGTCTTTCTTACCTTCTCAGATTTGGACTTCCAGCCTGTGGAATGCAATTTTGGAAGTTACTTTTGGTTCCCTATCCTCTTGGCATTTAGGAAATGTATAAAAATGCATTTTTTTTCCTGCTGATGTTGAATAAATACATGCTTTCAGTACCTTCTTTGTTATCTTTAATGTCTATCTTTATCTCACTATATACTGTTTTTGTTTTTAAAATTTTATTAGCTATGCTTGACTACTAGCCAAAGTAGAAGCATAGGATATAAACCAAATAAATTAAATCATAGTTTGCATCAGGGGTGTCCATGGGATATGGTCAAGGAGTCAAGATGGTGGCCACAATGATGCGACTGAAGTTCCACCTGGACTTTGACCTTGTATTCTACTTGGACGCTGAAAATACAGTTCATATCATGGACTGTTGTTATAGAAGAACAATCTGGATTGTTTCCATAAGAATAGTAATGTAAGGCTAAAAGTGTGATGATATATTTCTTGTAGGTATCCTCAGAACTATGGAAACATTGTGATGGGCTACATCCAATATCATGCATTAGAATTCTTTCTGAACCTTTCTGGAATTACCCCTTCCAGTTTACTAAGGGGGCTTCCCCCAACACCTTCACCGTTATTCCACACTGGCTCTTGGCATGAGAAAGAAGGATGGGTTGTATGTCTCCCAGGGAGCTTTCATGGCTGAGGGGGACTAGAACCTGGGTTTCCACTGTTCGGTCCAACATCTTAACCAGTACACTACACTGATTTGTGTTCAGTGGACAGATACCATTGATTACAACTCAGGTATCAAAGCTTTAAAACAGTGTTTCTCAACCTTGGCAGCTTTAAGATGTGTGAACTTCAACTCCCAGAATTCCCCACCTCTTAAAGCTGCCAAGGTTGAGAAACACTGCTCTAAAAGAAGGTCTGAATCTTACCGTTTTACAAAATTTTATTGTGCAAATCACCTAGAGAGCACTTTTCCCTAAAAACAAAAGGCTCTAAATAAAATCATGTCCTACTGGGCTGACAGCTGTTTGCTGTAGTAGATAATTATTCCTTGCCATGCCCCCAAGAAGAAAGTTTGAAACCCTTTATAAAATGTATTTATCAGGTTTTTAAGTTTTGGTTGGGAGACATCCATTGGTCCTTGTATCCTCACAAAGCCACACTGAAAATAATGGTAAAAGATGCTACGGAACATAGAGAAAGAAAAAGAAACATATTCTGAAGAAACAGTCTGTGTTATTAATTTATACACAAATTAGCCTCTCCGTTATTTCAAGTTCTGTAGTGGAAACTTTAGAGAATTTTCTGGTTGAGATATAAATTCACCAGCTTAGGACAACTTGTGGACGTTAGGGTGCTTTTGCTTATTAATGTAGTTAAATAATAGGTTGAAATGGGCTTGGAAATTGATGCACAGTAAATAGGCCAGTTTACACGATGAAGTGACTCAAAACTATTCTGCTTCTATGTGTTTGTGCCTTCCTGTTTTTTGTATCTGGGCATGTTTCTCTGTCTATAATTTTAACGGTTTGCCTTTTCGTTGCTTTTAAGGTATCGTGCTTGTTGCCATTAATCCTTATGAACAATTGCCAATCTATGGACAAGATGTCATCTATGCATACAGCGGCCAAAACATGGGAGATATGGATCCTCATATTTTTGCAGTTGCAGAAGAAGCATATAAGCAAATGGCCAGGTGAGTGCAGAACTTTCTTCCCTTCTACTGATGCATTTAAATTGAGACTGATGTTGCCTCAAATGAACAAGTAGGTTCAGATTCAGGAGGTAAACTATGATGAGGCTTCTGGAAATCTTCATGACTGTCATTGTGTCAGGGGAAAACAGGGTGCCCTTGAATGCAGAATTCAGCAACTTTAAAAGAACCCTGAGAAGCTCCATTTAATTCCTGTTTTTAGTTGTTTTTTAATCTATACTCTGGTCCACATGGTTTAACAAGTAGAAATGTGAGAATGCATTTCTTGTGTTGTGTCAAGTGGTGTGAGGATCATTTTCTCCAAGTAGTCTTCCTCAAGCTGATGCCCTCCAGATGAGTTAAACCAACTCCCATAATCCCTTGAGGCCTCATTGGGTATGATGGATGTAAGACAGACATGTTTTAGTAGGTGATGGAGAATGTCATTTCCCGCTTAGCTTCCTGGGATGCCTGGTCCCCATATTCAAGTCTCTGTTGAATCAAAAATGCTTCATAAAAGCTGGGCTTGCTCAAAGTTGTATCTGATTTAACCTTCTCCAGGTTTCTGGGGAGACTTTGTGCATGAGAGATGTTGGAGGCTTCTTACAGGGTTACTCATATGTGGCTGTTGTTGTTGTTGTTATTATTATTATTATTTATTAAATTTATATGCTGCCATGTCCCCCAGAGGGTGACTCTGGGCGGCTCACAATTAAAATCCATTAAAAACAGTAAAAATATAAATATTCATATTAAATTAGCTAAAAAAATAATACAATATAAAAGACTGTACACAATTCAAGATGAAGGGAGGGCAGAATCAATTACCCCACCAGCCAATTTCAACAATGTGAGCCTCCATCACGCCCACAGGCCATCTGGCATAGCCAAGATTTCACACTCTTCCAGAAGGCCACGAGAGTGGGGGTGGACCGCACCTCAGGTAGTAAGTTGTTCCACAGAGTGGGGGCCATGGCAGAAAAGGCCCTCTTCCTAGACCCCGCCAACCGAAATTTCTTGACTGGTGGGGTCCACAACATGCCTCTTCTTCCGGATTGAGTGGGGTGGGCTGATATAATGGGTTATCCAGGTAGGTTTACTATAAACCCCAGAATCAGGAGCATCTTCACTTTCCTAGTTAGCAGATATCACACTTGGCATTTCAGGCACCTCGTTCTAGTTGTTTCCCATCCATTCCACCCAGCTGTCTCTAGCATTTCAACATCTAGATTTGTGCTTTTCCATCCTTCTGCCTGCCATGTTTCATATTCTTTCCAAAACACTTGCAAGTGGAACAATATGATGCAGACCTTTGAGATGTCTATGCAGAATGTCTTTGAGATGTCTGGGGCCAGGATGTTGGTAGAGCTGACACAGGGTGGTTGATGGATGGAAGTAAGTTTTTATCAGGACCTCAACATAGTTTATTGTTTTAAATGGTTGTTCCATTGTATTGTGTTTTTATTTTGTTCACCGCCCAGAGTTCTTCTTGGTAGATAGGTAGCAATATAAATACAGGTAGTCCCCAGTTTAAGGATGAGTTCCGTACCCAAGGTCTATCCTTAAGTCGAATTTGCATGTAATCCGGAACAATATTATTGTGTAATACTATATAAGTAGTATTATGTAATTAACTCAAACCATTATATATTTAATTTGAATCATTGTGTATTTAACTCAAATTTTGCTACAGTAGGCTCCGTTCTTAACTATGGGTCAATTGTAAACTGTGTGTTCTTAACCCGGGGACTATAAATCAGTTTTATTGTAGAATTCGGAGTGGGTAGGTTCAAAACAAGGAATTCTTTAAAAACACAATGATAGAAACAGCAGTTGGATCCGAAGTCATTTTCTTTATTCCATTCCTCCTCTTGACGGATCTACTTCTAAGCGTTGTTGGTAGTGGCAGAGAATGAGGATGTAATGCTATGCGGGAATGACCTTGGGAGACAGGGAGAAGAGACGCAGCCAAGGGAACGGTCAGATAAGAGACAGCTTAGCCCATAGCAGGAATGTGAGAGGGGCAAATGTATCAGAAGGGACCCTCCCTAGTTTCTCGGGCTGTAAAGGTGTGGGGGGAGAGATGTACTTTCAGTCTTGCAAGATTCTGTTAAGCTAACCTTACAAAAAAGTAGAATTAGCTCATCTGGTCGTGCTTCCTGTCTGGTCTACCTCGCATGGCTAACGGGGTGCATCAGGCACTACAAAGGTTTGCAATGATGGTTTATTTCTCTTTCTATCTTTTCTCCACTCGCTGTCTTTATCACTTCCCTTTTATTGACCTTATTCCTTTTCTTTACTGCTGGTTCTTTCCTTATAACTTTATCATTGTGACAAGAACACTTGGGTCTGATTCAGAACTGTAATGAGCATTTCAGACTTAATTAGGGTTTCATCCACTCATTCCTGTACTGAAATTGGCCTGCACTGCAGTCGAAAGTGCCAGTGAGTTGTCCTGAGTGGATCATAGGAATTTCCGCTGCAGTTTTTATCTTTCAAGTAAGTTCAGGAATAGGGTAGATACTGCATAGTTAGAAACTTTTGCACTCCCTGGTGGAACTGTTAATGTCAAGTAAGCATATCTGATTTTAAGAAAAACATCCGAGAGCAGTGCAGGAATGCAAGGTCTACCTGAACAGAATATGCCTGGCTGGCTGGGAATTCTGGGAGTTGTAATCCAAGCACACATGGAAGGGTGGTGTGGTGTTAATACCGGAAGGAAGAATTCAGGAGAATGCTGCAGCCAAAGTGCGTGTCTGTGTGTGGTACTTTAATCTAGATGAGGATAGTTCTTGTGTCTTTGTGTCTTTGTGTGCCATGAGACCAACGTATGCTGTGAAAAGATGAGCTGTGTTCAGTTTGCTTATCCATTCCTAAGCCTGCAGTTTCTTCATTTCTGTTTTGTCCCCATTCCAGTACGGTTCAAAATAGTGCTAGGAAGAAAAACCCGCTTACATTTTGTTCCCTAACCCTTCTCATTGAAACGGTCTACCTGCAGAGGGGTGGGTTTTCCGTCTCTGGAAGCAATAGAAGCGAATACGCGTAGCTCAGGGTTGAACTGTGGAGTCCTTGGGGTTCTCTGAGCTTGGTTGTTTTCTTGCAAACGTTTCGTTACCCAGCTAGGTAACATCTTCAGTGCTAGAATGGAGTGGGGTTTGCTCTCTGTTTGTAAATACGCGTAGCTCAGGGTTGAACTGTGGAGTCCTTGGGGTTCTCTGAGCTTGGTTGTTTTCTTGCAAACGTTTCGTTACCCAGCTAGGTAACATCTTCAGTGCTAGAATGGAGTGGGGTTTGCTCTCTGTTTGTAAATACGCGTAGCTCAGGGTTGAACTGTGGAGTCCTTGGGGTTCTCTGAGCTTGGTTGTTTTCTTGCAAACGTTTCGTTACCCAGCTAGGTAACATCTTCAGTGCTAGAATGGAGTGGGGTTTGCTCTCTGTTTGTAAATACGCGTAGCTCAGGGTTGAACTGTGGAGTCCTTGGGGTTCTCTGAGCTTGGTTGTTTTCTTGCAAACGTTTCGTTACCCAGCTAGGTAACATCTTCAGTGCTAGAATGGAGTGGGGTTTGCTCTCTGTTTGTATACAGTGGCATGCCCTGCCAGTGTTGGGGGGGGGTCCCCCCCCCCCCACTCTGGTAGTTCCTTGATTAGGGTATTGTTTACTGCTTGATTGTATGTCTGGCGATAATCTTGGTGTTAATCTCTGCTTATCTGGGTGATGATTGCTGGTGACCAATAGATGAGAATATATGTCGCTTATATGTATGTAAACAGAGAGCAAACCCCACTCCCTGCTAGCGCTGAAGATGTTACCCAGCTGGGTAACGAAATGTTTGCAAGAAAACAATCAAGCCCAGAGGACCCCCAAGGACATCTCTGGAAGGTTTTAAGAAGAGGTTGGACAGCTGCCTCTCAAGGGTGGTTTCATTGGTTTTCCTGCACAACTGCAGAGCTTGTGATCTCTTCCAACTGTGATTTTGTGTTGAAAGAAAATTTGCTTATGAATAGAAATATCTTGCTTTAGAAGATAATTCTGGCAAAAATCCTCGTGGGAGGAATGTAGTGTTCTTGCATTTCTTTTGTGAAGAAGTTACCTACATCATGTACGAATGTCCCGTCTTTCACCACCTCTTTTCAATGATCTTCAGCTGCCCCCTTGCTTTTCATGCTCCTGCTAAATCCAAGGGAAGACTTGAGAGAGGTCTTCAGCAGTGCTACTATTGTTACTTCTCTAGGGAGAATTCGGCCCTTGAGCAATTCTTGAAGCGTTGCTTTGTTTTTCCCCTTAGAAAATATTCCTCATCCGATTTATTTGCATACAAAGTGGGTGGAGAATTAAAAAAAAAAACTATTTGTACCAAGTGCTAACCATAATTAGAAAAGATCATTCTTCCCTGTGGGAGGAAAGAAAGGATGGGTATAAGAATCATTCCTGGAATGAAATCCTAGAGAAGTGTTTCTCAACCTTGGCAACTTTAAGATGAAGTCCACACATCTTAAAGTTGCTAAGGTTGAGAAACACTGTCCTAGAGGATGCCATTCTGGGAGAGAGGAGATTTCCAGGAATCAGCATTGCTGCTTCTTATGCAAAATCATTCTTCTAATCTGCTTTGTAATCTAGCGATTGCAAAAACAGATCCTTGGTTGTACAAAATCCCCTTCAATTCCATGAAGCTTCTTAAAGAATCCAGCATGGCTTCTTTAAGGCTTCTTTATACCAGATGGAACATTCAGGAAACCCTGGTTTGTGTGTGACCTTTGAAACCTCCTGTTGATTCCAGAATTTTGCTGAAGCAAGCTTTTAGTTTGATGCTCCTGGATACTTGTACAATATACCAAATGTGATTTTATTTACTTAGTTGTAAGCCCATGTTGATGGGAAGAAGGAGATTCCAAAGTATTCTTCCATCTGCCTTGTTTTAAAGCAAATTCACCCACTTAACAAAGGCATATAGTTCATTAAAAATGTTGATGCCAACAAAGATGTAAAAGAAACCTGTATTTCT